AAAAACAGATTTCCAAAATGCAAAATTATTTTTTTCCATGTTCCTGAATGAATTTTTGGGTTTATGAATGGCTTTCTCGTTTTAACTCTATCATGAAGTCTAAGCTTACGCAAAATTCTTTGAGTTGTCTCTGGATTACATTTCTTTTCCACATATGCAATTTTTAAGCTTGTTCCCAAACATTTTGATAGGTTTCTTTATGGCAACATCGTGTATAACATTTTCCCAGTGTATTTGTTCATCTCACACATCAGCTGTTACGATAACAACAAATTGATTCTAGTAATCGATAGAAATCGATCAAAAAACGAACTACATCACCCTATTCCAATAAGAAAAAGCGAATAGAAAGAAACCAAAATCAGTAGTACAGAAAGAAAATTTGGAAAAGTCAACTTGTGGGTGTGCGTGCGTGAAAAACTTTTTTCCACCAACGGTTGATACGGTATCTGCTGGAATTTTTATTAGTTAGAAAATTTGCCAATAAAGCACATCCTTTGGATATACATACACACAAAAAAATAATAAAACAAAGGCAAAAAAACGAAAATATTTCGAAGACGAAATTAGAAAAAAAATCTGTGGTGAAAGTAATTGTTTTTGTTTTAAGAAAAGTGACTAATACGCTAGAGATTTAGGAAAGGAAAAAAAACATCATCATCAACGACGGCACAAAATTCATTGAGAAAAAAAGAAACACAAACATACACACAAGAAAAGGAAGCCAAGAAGTGGTTGCACAAAACAAAAATCATCAAATCTGTGAGGGAGTGAGAAACTACAAAAACAACAACTAGAAAAAAAGTTGATGTGTGAAAAAAGCAGATAATAGCAATCTAAAAAGTTATTAAATCACAGACATATCAGAAAAAAGGCACAAATTGATAATAACAAAACGAATCGAATAGACCAGACCTTGAAGTCGTTAACTGGAAGTGCAGATTTTCGAGGTGCTACAAAAGTATTTCTAGAATAAATTCCAAATTTTCTTTTTTACGGAAGTAAAGTCAAATTAAATGGCAGCCATGGATAACGAACCCCGCACCGAATTGCAAGATTTGCAAATGAAGGCTACCCAGGTGGCCGATGAATCGGTGGAAAGTACCCGCCGTATGTTGGCCTACATGGAAGAGAGCAAGGAGGCTGGTATACGCACCCTGGTCGCATTGGATGATCAGGGCGAACAATTGGATCGCATCGAAGAGGGTATGGATCGCATTAATGCCGACATGAAAGAAGCCGAAAAGAATTTAAGCGGCATGGAGAAATGCTGTGGCATTTGTGTCCTACCCTGGAAAAAGGTCTCCATCAAGGATGATGCTGATAATGCGTGGAAAAAGAACGATGATGGTAAAATTGTCAATAACCAGCCACAGCGTGTCATCGACGAAAGGGAGCGGGGTGGTATGGGCCAGCCACCACAGACCGGTTACATTGCTCGGATTACAAATGATGCCCGCGAAGATGAAATGGACGAAAATCTCGGACAAGTTAATGCCATGTTGGGTAATTTACGTAATATGGCACTGGATATGGGCTCCGAGCTGGAGAATCAGAATATACAAATCGACCGTATCAATGCAAAGGGTGATGCGAATAATGCGCGCATGTCGGGTGTCAATCAGAGGGCTAACAATTTGCTCAAGAGTTAAATTTAAGTATTACATAGAAGAAGAAGCAAAAAACAGCACAACAACAACACAATTATTACAACACTAACAACATAGCAGCAATAGAATAGAAAACAAAAACAAGTAGAAGATGACAAGAACAACAACACCACCACCCCAACAACACACCAAATAAACTGCAAAGAAATTTACAAACAACCACCACCACCTCCCCATCAAAACAACCCCCTAAACTTGGAACACTGGGTATGTACACCCATGGCCCCCCACACCCACCAACCATCACCTCACCACCACTCCAGAAATCCAGAACTAGAGCAACGATGTTAGCAAAAACCTTCAAAAGACAAAATTGTGTAAGGTATGTATTATTCATTGATACACGTTCTTAAACATTGTATGCCGTTTAATTTCCTGATTTACCTTAATAGCATTTTGCTTAGGTATCCCGCGCAACCACCACCATCACCACCTGATTCTCTGTCTTTTTAGCAACACAATTCTTGTTGTTATTTATTTGTTAGCCTAGTCTGTCTGTTCGATACTAGTCGTCGTCATCGTCAGCATTTGTCGGTGTGTCTCGAGCAATGTCAGTGACAGCCATAAAAAATAAATAAATACATTCTCTAACATGGTGGTGATGGTATTTACGTCCGTACATACCTACTATCATGTGTGTATTAACGGCATGACTTCCTTGTGTTCCGGCAAATACGAACTTGTTATCTAAAAATTTGCAAAAAAAAAAAAAAAAAAAAAAAATGTGTAACTCCCAAAATAGAAATTTAAAACGACCCATCGAAGTAGAACATTGAATACAATTTGTGGTTCCAATTTATGACTTCTAATTTTCTCAGGGTATAAACATTTTATGGGCTATATCCTGGATAAAAATAGGCGTGGCAGTTTCACTCTCATCCTTCCAATCTCCCTCTCTTCCCTCAATCTCTCTCTCCCTAGTTAGAATGATTTCGTAAAAATGTAGCGGAGTGGGAACCATTTTAGTATTTTGTGGTCTTCTGTACATCTCATATTAGAACATTTGCCCTTTGGTGTAATACGATATACAAAATCTAGACGGTGGAAGGATGATGCTAATTCCTAAGATGCAAATCAATCTAATATATCCCTAGAAATCTTGGTTTTACGCAAGACTTTTTCCCTCGGAGACCTAAATAACCATCTCAAAGGTTACCGGTTCTATGTTGTCGACAATAAATGTTTTGTCGTCGGGGCCGACTGCATGATACCGTTCATCAGTTTGGGTACATACAAGAGACGCTCATATGTACAATATCCTTTATATAGAATAGACATGGCATCTTTGGAGGACCATTGAAATGGAATCGGACGATATTAACTACGTGAAGATATTTGATAGATATTTGAACTAAATTTAAACAACAACACACACACACATACTAACCTGTAGTAACTTGCCGACACAGGACCTGTTCTAGTCAGACTTGAAGTCGATCGCTCAACAGGGTCTACGATTCCTTCGTTAATGCTACAACAATTCCTCTTCCTCCGGAAGCGTATCCTCACATTGCTTTTCCGGTATCAGTCTGTCTAACTGGTCGAAGATTTCCTTACTTTGCTCCTCTAGACTATCGCGGTTTGCATTTACATTCCCGTGTAGGTCGTCCCCTCCCAGAACAACAGTCCTGTCAGCCAGAGACAGATTTTCATCAGTCTTGGCCTGCTCATTTGCCAAAAGAATTGCCGGTTCGACAACGTTCGGATTTGAAATTGATGCACTTGTAATAGATACAGCTACGTTTTGATAAGCTGAGGGTATATATCTGTCGGCTACAACCACACAAGTTCTTATTTCATGTTGCCCTCTTCACCTCGATTGAATTGATGTCTGTTGTTTCTCTAGGTTCCTGTTCTTAAATAGAGGCTAAGAGTTAATTATCGTATTGTTTTCGATATTTATTGTATTTTAATTAACAAAGTGAGCGGTAAAGGGTTTATCATTGTATGTGGGAACGTCGCGTGTAGGCTAGACAGATATGTTCTTACAACGCTATTCACATGTTTGTGGTGTATGGAGTGTTTGGCAACACATCTCCTTCATCTCCTGCATAGTCCCCCTTCTTTCCAGATTTTTGTCGATTCTTTGGTATTTCTAATCATTAATATTCATTGTCTAATTTAAAAGTTGTAATTTTTTTAAAGGAAAAAAATTTAATTAAAACTTAAAAAATCATATCTAGTAGTACTTTAGGGCATTATATTTAAAAACCATTTTCCACACCTTGAAGTATAATACTCATAATTATTCTCCAGCTCAAATTCTCTTTATGGCTGTACACAAAATCATATACAACAATTTTTTATTTATGTATATAGTTAAGCGTTATGAGCTTGTTAACAAAAAATGCACTTAATATTAATGAATTTACTTTATTTTGAACAAAAACCCCCCGTTTTTTTGCAAACTATGTAGTTATTAGGTTAAGTGTATAATGTTCCTACGTCCGTACACATCCTCAATGATGTGATTTGCTCTTGAGAAAAGAAAGACGAAGAAAAAGAACCCTTAGAATTTGAATAGAAAGAAATGTACTTATGTACGTGTTGTACATACTCGTACATATATGGAAGAAAATATGTTAGCTGCGGAAATAGCAAGTGTTTCTTGACACACTCATCGCTCCCCGCTCCCCGCTCCCCGCTCCCCGCTCCCCCTTTAGCAGGATTTTGCCTTCGCTTCGACTTGTTGCAATCAAAATCATTTTGTTGTGCACATGCATGTTAACGATATCGTATGGCGACGCCGTATTATGAGCTATGGGATTTACCATCACGTTTTGAATTTTGTAATATTAGTAATGACGATTTGTTTTATGAATAGTTTTTTGTTTTGTTTTGCTTTTGTGCTGACTTTACTACATCATATCATACTAATCCATTCACTTCTATAAATATATTTATAAACGACGTCTTATGATTTATTATGAGTTTAGTATTTATTATAAAACAACAAACGTTATATTTACAATGTTTAATATGAACAAGTTTTAACGTTTATTTTTATAAGCTATTTGTAAACGTATATAATCGACTGTGTTGTAAGAATTATGGTATTCAATTTTCTAAAGCATTGTAACTATTTTGTTATATGGACAATATTGCCAATTTTTTAATATTCCATTTTCAAAAAATCAGCTTTTTTGTTTTTGTAGCAAATCAATGATTTTTGGTACACATATAGAGAAAAATGTTCTGACTCCGAAACCGTTCGCGATCAAATTTTTGGTTGATGCGCGCAAAAGTTATCGAGGTTTTAATTTTGGGCATAAGAAAACAATCTTAAAATTACGCCGTTTATTGTATTGACTAAAAACGTTGATATACAGTGAGTGTAATAAGTATTTTGCCTCAATAAAAATTTGAAAAAATTCCAATATATATGCCTAAAGCCAGCAAACTAAAGATGTAAAATGAATTATGTATGTTGGAGTATGTTTGTGGACATATTTAGATCGTATTTCTGCAATAATCACAGCGTAAGACCTATTGATCTCGAAGATATCGGCCGAAATATATAACAATCCAAAAATGCTTATCACAAAAAAGTATTTTGCTTTTTATTATTATTTTAGAGAAAATTGTAACATAGAACACGTTTGTTCTTTTTATAGTTACCATTGCGGGTAACGACATACTATAAGTGATTTGGCAACGATTCCAATAAACCACGGCATTTTTTCGCGAGTATTTTCTCACATTTACGTTCAAAACATTCTCCAGCAATATTTCGTTTAATATTTCGTAATTTCTCGTTCTAATCTCAAAATCAGAGTATTAAATATAGTTGTCGCGGCTTCAAAACATCCCAAATATGTTAAGAATAATAAAAAGGAGGTTTTACAAAATATATCGCGAGGACAGGACCTTAAAAACTATTAAAACCTAAATCCGACAAACAAATTATTTAAAAAAATATAGCGAAACACCATTTTTCTAACTTCGAAAACTTTATGGTTCATTATTACTGATCTAGGAACCAAAATATACTATGAAAATAGCAATAAGGAGGTCAGATTCAAAGATATGGACGGTTTTCTGGCAATAGAAATACATCGTATTTTGAAAATAAATAGATCGAACCATTCGAACCATTCCCTACTGCATTCGCAACTGATGGTGTTAATCGGAGATAAAATATAGAATGCGTATTCGCCACCAGCAACCACAGTTTTTCAAAAGACAATAGGATTTGACGAATAATGATGTTTTCTCCCAACTTCATGTATTGTTTTTTATTACTATTGCTTTAGAACTGTTATCTTTGAATCTGACCTCCTTATTGGTATTTCCATTGCATATATTGGTTCCTAGATCAATATTACTGGACCATACAAATTTCGAAGTCAGAAAAATTGGGTTTCGCGAATTTTTTTTTCAATAATTTGTATGTCGGATTTTGGTTTTAATAGTTTTTAAGGTTCTGCCCTCGCGTTGTATTTTGCAAAACCTCTTTTTTATTATTCTAAACATATTTGGGATGTTTTGAAGCCGCAATGACTATGTTTAATACTCTTATCTTAAGATTAGGACGAGAAAATACCAAATATTAAATGAAATACTGATGGATAATATATTGAATGTAAATGTGAGAAAATACCCACGAAAAAATGCCGTGATGTATTGGAATCGTCGACAAATCGCTTATAGTATGTGGTTAACCGCGATTGTAACTATAAAAGGACCAAACGTGTTTTATGTAATATTTTTTCTAAAATAATATTAAAAAGCAAAATACTTTTTTGTGATAAACATTTTTGGTTGTTATAGATTTTTGGTATCTTCGAGACCAATAGGTCTATCGCAATGATTCTTGCAGAAATACGATCTAAATATGTCCACAAACATATTCCATCACACATAATTCATTTTACATCTTTAGTTTGCTTGCTTTAGGCGTATATATTGGAATTTTTTCAAATTTTTATTGAGGCAAAATACTTATTACACTCACTGTATATCTTCCTCCGTAAAATAAGAATATGAATATATTATAATAATCGCGAAAAGGTTGCACATCTTCGCGAAATATGAGAAAAATAATGAAAATATAGGAGATT